TAATGGTTGTATTGATGTATAGCAACTTGAAATGCTCCCAAAAATGGCTCCACAGCATGTAAACATATAATATAAGCTCTGGCGGACTTGGTTCTATGGTCGGTCTTAAAGGGTTAATTCAGCACCTCCATGAGCAAACTTCATTGCTACCATGTTGTTATAAATACATTTTGCTGCACTAGTTTTGGTCTCAAACAAGCTGCCATATTGTTTTCTGTTTGCAATCAAGTTGCTGACTGTCCATGCAAGCTCAGTGTTTGCATGACTTTATCTAATGCCTCTCAAATCACACATCGAATGCTCGGGTGGATCCCACGCGTGCTTAAAAATGCCCCACATTAGAGACAGGCTTCCCGTGTGAACATGCAGACATACATTTAGACAAAGTTTAGCTCTGCAAATCAGTTCTCGCTGATTTGAAAGGAGCCGGTCTGCTGAAAGAGGGCACAATCTGACTCAGCTTTCATTTGGAAAGAAGTTCCAATTTCAACCGCATGCAAGCAGACATTCCTGGTGGATTGCTCTCTAACCTGAAATCCACATTACGTCTGTTTTGCACATAATTGATGATGGAAGATAAAATAGCTGCTGAAAGAGTTGATATGTTTGCATGATGCTGCAAATCTCTGTGCAGCGTTCTGCCATCTCGTTACACTTTCAACATCTTAATCTTGCTCCAGCTGGACACTTTAGATGTTTTTCACAGACTCGGTAGAACTGAACTGAAACTCAAGTCCTCACAGGGCATTCAAGACAAATTAGACGTGTCTGCTGGTGGCAGCGCTGGGCCACACTGTTCAGCCAGGATCAGGACAAGCTGTCCAAGAACAGTTAGGAAGCCCTGCTCAGTCACGCCAAAGTTCCCGTGGTAGCGCTTACAAATGAGGTCGAACCAGTTAAAGGCAAGAACGACGTTTTAGACCAGCCTAGGATAAAGGCAACATCGGACACACTGTTTGGCACAAAGCTGGAAAAAAGCAGAAGCTTCACAACAAGTGTTTCTATATGTTCCCTCCATCTATTTGTGACCAATGTAGACTTGCTTGACTCATTTATTAAATTCTTGTCATGTTATTGGACCAAAAAGTTCCCTCAAAGATACAATATTAGGGTGAAAAACTCAACAATCCACTGATTGTGAGGAGCACCTGGCAACGGTGGAAAAAGGGAACTCCCTGTTAACAGGAAGAGACCTCTGGTAGATTCAGGCACAGGGAGGAGTGGACAGCTTCTACAAAAGCAGACATGTTGTATATGTGTGTGTACCTGGTACTGTTTGAGCATCCCATTGATCAACAGCGACGACTGCTTCTCCACCCTCTCAATGACAGCGTGGGCCACGCCGTAGTAAGACTGGGAGCTGGTTTGGCCAGTAGGAACACTGTACTCATCATCCACATCCTGCTTGGCCGACCTGACAGAGACAGAGCATTTGAAAGTATTCTAACTCAAACTGAACCAGCTTACAAATTTAATTTTGAAGCCTGACCCCGGGAGCTCAGACTAATAACTGTCTGAGCTC